ACGTTATTGAAACTGACAGCTGCTATACAGTGAGAAATGAGGTTAAGTTGGTCGCTATAAGCTACTCCCTACGTCCAATGTGTCAGAGCCAACTTCGACCACGTTTTTATTTGAACGCTCGTTAGTTAATAAAATATAATGTTCATCAAATATTTATATTTATTTGTTCATGAAATATGCATTTACAATTCGAAATCGCTTTTTTCCCTAGGGAGGTAAGTTACCTCACTTATCTCCCGTTGTCCATAGCAACTACCACTTCTACGGTAAAATCCACTTTACCTCACCTCCTTAAAAACAATGTATTAATAATAGTCTATTTACTATAGTGGGTGCAGATAAAATATTTATAACTTTTTTGGTAATATCGATTCTATTTGTAATGGCACATGCATCCATAATTATAAAATTTTAGTTTTTTAGAAACATTCTTTAGAAACTTTGCATTTTCTGGAGTGTCATTAAAATTACAATTATTAATGATCTCCGACCCCAGACTTTCCCCTGTCCTGATATTTTACAGGCGCACAGGTAGTCTTTTACATGATAAATTATTTTATAAAACTGTTAAATGTGGTTCTTTCTTAATTCTATTAATCAACACGGATAGCTTTATATTTATATCAGAGATCAGAGAATAATAAGTAAGATAACAATGACAAGAAATCCACCATCGGTAACATAGAACTAGCGCCATCTTACCTTACACATTTAACTTACGACTTAACCTTTGTAAATCAGCTTCCCTAGACAGACGGTGTAATATCCCATTGAAAAACTACCTGAACCATAAAATTGCGCTCACTCGGTGTTTATAGAATGTATAATTCATTTAAACGTTCCAGCATAGGCTGCAATATATCATCGGGGCACCATCTGGACGGTAATGCTAAAATTGCATGGCGTAATTCATCCCGTCATTTAGTGAAAAGGTTAAAGCGAGGCCTGTTAACCTTTCCCCGGCTGACGGAGGAATCGTTCGATTTTAATCGACTCTCCTCCGGGGGGAACCAGCTCATCGTTGCTCTGTTTGCATGAATTACGTCCTGCGCTGCCTGCAGCATGAGGTTTGGGGACGACTTTGTTGACGTACGTTTCAATTATTGATGTAGAAGGAATATTAAATGGAAGATATTTATTTGTGGTATAATTTTATTTCGCCTCCATTTTACTACACAAGCAATTATTCTTCTCCTGCCTTATTCAAGAGTTTTCTTTAAATATACATATATTTATTTTGTTTAGTATTTTACAAATTATGAATCACTCATTTTTTCTGTAAGTGACACAATACAGTGAGGACATGTTTGCGAAAGTAGCACACTTTTTCATTGAAAAGTGTAACGAAGGACATTAAAGTTTTAAAATATCCTTAGACACGCAATCCTCATTTGTCATAAGTCAAATACCTTGAAAAGTTCATTTACTACTATCCTAATTTTAGAAAATATTATACTGTGCTCCAGTTGACTTTCCCAACAAAATAAAAGACGCATTTTTCACTTAATTTTTGTGACTACCAGTTAATTTATTGATCATTTCTACATACAAAGAGTACATGTATAGTCAAGGACACTTAATATAATTTGAAAATTCTGTAACCCTATAAAAGCAATGTCCCAGTAGAAACTTTTTAGTTAATTTATAAAACTCCTTAAAATTAACATCTCCACACAACAATTTTTAAAATAATTCTTAAAACCATTATATAATGCAATATTCAACTTATTCGAGCTAGTGGTTTGAATCCTTGAATGCTGACTCACCAGATTATCCGCATATCGAGTGCTGTAAGTATGAACGTCTGATTGTTTAAGAAATTTATTCACATTTCTGTGAATATGCAACAAAGTTTCAAACAATGCGGATCTCTGGTCTCTGATCCCAGGTCTCTGCACAAAGTAAATTATCATTATGCATCTCCATAGAACCCCTCATTAAAAACGTTGTGTCATCTGCAAAGAGCACACAAAAACTCGCCCCAACCGAGAAAGGAAGATCATTAACATACAACAAGAACAATATTGGGCCCAAGACCGAGCCCTAGGGGACTCCATTTGTAATAGGCAGAAAGCCTGACTCATTTCCATTTAGACTAACATATTACTTCCTGTTGGACAGATATGAGGATAAAAGATTAAGTATTTTTCCTCTAAGTACTCTAATTTATGAACCAAAATGTCGACATTGACACAGTCAAACGCCTTCGTGCTAGCGGCCTCATCGAGTCCCTCCACAACATTTTCCATTACATATTTCCAAAAGTGCTTTTATTGTGGATTTGTTTTTCCTAAATCCATTAGTAGTAGTTAGTAAATATGGATTTATCCTCACAATATTTAGCTAGCCTTAGTTTAATTCTAATTTCTAATATTCACAAAGCAATTTGAAACATATCTTTCAATCAAATCTTCAACAAAATAATTACGGTCTATTTTAATTTTCATTTTTCTGTTCCCCAAAATTTTGGTTCAACCCCATTCAATTATATAACCGTTCCCTCAAGCGTGATCGCTAATTTTTGATTTCTCAAATTATCGTTTTTCATTGTAATCTTTCTCCTCGTCTATTTTAATATATGGTACAAATTGGCTAAAGGTTGTCTTAGTAGTGGAGATTGTTGTCGAATATTCTGTTGCCACTGATTTGTCAATTTGAATCGTTTTTTCTACCCCACAGGCATCACTTTCAATCTTGTTTTTTACTGAATCGGTCACATATTCGTCAGCTACACAGGACACCTTCCATCCACCATGACGTTTCAAAGTCTTGAAATCTCCTCCGGCGTCTGCCAATAGCGTTGCAGACATCCCTCTAAAACAGTGTCCTGTGCAGGTATTAGTAGGTATCCGGTAATTTCATTTAGCTATCTGGCTTGATATTTTTCCAACTGAATTTATTCCAACAGCTTATTTGGTACACTTTCCTTTCTAAGAGAGTAAAAACAGTCGATTGTGATTTATATGCCAAGGCCTCGATGATACATAAACTGTAAAAAAATCGGTATGAGTGAAAGCAGTAAAGGTTCGGAGTGAATCCACTGAGTGAAATTATTGAGTATATTGTACCTCAATATTGGGCATTTTGATCATTTTACTCATTTGTGATTATATTTAAACTAAAACTGAGTTTCACTCAAATATAGGTACTCCTTAAATAAATTCCTAACGTATACTCGTATTTGGTGCACTTGTACCTAAATCAGAGTAAATGTCCTCATTACTGAATGAGTTTAAATGTATATTAATTTCGAGTAATTTGAATGGAGTCGTGAAGATGGCACTACTTACATATTGCTTCTGTAATCTCGACCATAGTTGATAGGGGCCCGTTACATACTCCAGAAAAGCGTGATCGCCAGGAGAACAGGTCTTAGCCTGCGGCGGTGGGTCTCAGCTGGCGGGTCTCAGCCAAGACAGGAGGAAGCCCCGTGAAGTGAATTAATTTCGACACTGTATATCCTATTCTAATTAATCATTTAAGAGTTATTCATTTTTGCACTCAATATTTAGTTAATTAAAAACCAAGTCTGAGTAAAAATTGACGCAATAATAGCTAAATTTAAATCGTATTAGAGAAAAAGTTAACTCTAAATTGGTTTTATATACTTAGAATAGAGTCAAAAGTCGCTCAATTGATAGATTAGCAGTAACTCGGATTTGAGTAAAACTCACTAATTTCTCATGCAATAGTTTCATTCAGTTGTATTCAAACTAATAGAGTGAAAACATATCACTTAATCGGGTGTGGACAGAAATTGATACATTATTGAATAAAATTAAGTGAAATTCGAGTGAAATTTTTTTACCGTGTACTTCTTTCACTATTTCTACTATCTCCCCTTCAGAATCGCTGAAATTCATTTTTTTTTCAAAATTAAGCGCAAGACGCGGTAATACAGATACAAAAAATATAGCAATTTTAACCACAGCATACTGTTTATATAGTTGTTACGATGTCAATTGGAATCTGTAAATCTTAAAGCACAGGACCGTATGCACTTCTCCCGAAATTTCTTCTTATGCTTTGACCATGATGTGTCTCGTAATTTATACTCGAATAGCAATTCGGCGAGTCCGGTATTGGTAAACTAGTCCGCCTGACGTAGAATTGACGGCGGCACGCTGGTCATCAAAGCAAACCTGTATTGGTCCACTAGGTCGTAAATAATTTTTTTGTATGGTACACGGGTTCACTTAGCTTTGCCTCTTTGCCAGTGCAGTGCAGAGCATTGCTTGGCGGGGTATGTTGTTGGTATAATAGGTATTATTATTTATTAGTTGATATTATTATTTGTTCATATCGTAACCAGTAAAGGGTAATAGTTATTAAAATAAATGTTATATGTAATTATCTAGTAAATTAGCGTGGCTCTCTGGAGACTCTTTGAAGCGGAGGATAGCGAAATAACTCGGGAAAATCCCCAAATAGTGGAACCGGTTCGAAAAGCGTCGAAACAAACTCAGAGTTTAAAAACAAAGATTTACACGTAAAAAGTCAACGTATTATATTAAATATATATGAATGTTTGAAAATTGAAAATAGTGAACAATATGATAAAAAAGTTAGGAAACAGATTAACGAATTAAATAAAATATCCAAAAACGACAATTTATCTCGTAATTAAAGAAGGATTATCTTAAAATATTACAGTGGCGTAACGTTTTTAAAGGGTCATTTTTAAAAATCAAACAAATATTTAAAAACTGCACGATTGTATATAAAGTATAATACTTGTGGTAACTGGGTCTTAAAGAGAATTAATGTACTTTAAGAAATCTTTAATTTTTGTTGTATAAATTCGCACTCTATGTATATATATTTCCAAACTGAATGATATGTTCAATTTCTTACTTACATATAGCAAATGAGCACCATTCTGTGCACGTCACAAGTCAAATTTCTGTGCGAGACTATGCCAAATGCCATGAACACCGCATGGAATGTACCTCCCCGACAGTCCCAGCTCCCTTCTAACTCCAAATTCCGGAATTTTTCAGGCAAGGTGGACGAGAAGGCCACCCAGCTGCACGCCATCGCTTCGCTGAAGGTGCTGCTGGACGCCACCAAGCCCCAGAACGGCGCCGCCACCAGCTCGGCGGCCAACCACGTCGCCGCGGCGACCAAGCAGGAGACCATGCTGGCGCCGACCGACATGCCAAACGGCGTCGCCAGCGCCCTTACGGACGTCAATCTAGATGCGGTAAGTGGCCCACTGGGTGATAGGAATTCGGGGTTGGAGGTCGAACAGCCCGCTTGAAGCTCTCGTAAGCATATTCACTTACTAGGGGTGATTAATGACACGAAATATACAGGGTGATTCGCAAATGGTGACCAAAAATGAAACCTCGTATTCTTGCTGAATTTTAAGGAATTTTTCCTGTAAAGTTTTTATCTAGGACGCTTCGTTAAAAAGATACAGGGGATATCTTTAATCTTTTTTAAATAATTTAAAAACTAGTAGGTGAAATAATTTGAAATTGGGCACATGTGTTTATGTAAACATTGTCCAAAATCTGAGATCTTTTCCTAAAATTTACATGCGCCAACGGCGGAGATACACGGTTTCGGTGGCATATTTTTCTAAATAAAATACTACGCCACTGCTTTACGGCAACAACCATGATATTTTCGAATTCGTCATTCAATTTTCTACAAATTATTACCCTCTTATATTTTTCGAAGAAATTCGATTTTCGAGTAAAACTTAAAAAACGAACCGAGGACATACTTCGATATTCGAATATAATGCTTTTTAATCTTACATAGTGGGCTGCGATAGCAACTTTGATATTCTGAACAGTTAGAAGAAAGAATAAATAATGCTTTTCATCAGATTCAAGCAACAATAAATTTCGAACAAATTACATTTTCGATACTAAAAAGATGTCGGGCTTGTGTTCCTGGAAATGGAGGTATTTTTGAGCATTTATTTATTTATTTAATTTATTTATTTATTTATTTAATTTCATTCATCCAACGGGAGAGACCCAATTACAGGATGAATATTACAGCTACAATAAATACACATTAACACAAGAAGCATAAACGTTTAAAATAAGTAAAAATAAAAATTACCAAAAAGTACAAACGTTAATCAGAAACAATGTCAGTCAATCAATAAAAAAATATCAAAACGGTAAAGTCACATAAGAATTAATATATCTAAAAATCATCATAACAACAGAAACAACAACATAAGTAATACAAAAACAAAAAAGAAATGAAAAACTTGTTTCTTCGTTGGGCCAAATCTGAAGGCAAATTTGGATTTAGCGGAAAAAGTACATGGAAATACATGGGTCTGAATACCAGATCCGATACTTTTTTTTATGGGGCTATGTATTATTAACACCCTGTATTTTTCCCAATAATATAATTTCAATTTCACAAAGCAAACCATGATTGACCTTTTTGGGGACAAGGGATTAGACATTTTATTTAACAGTCCTCATAACGTGTAAGTGTGTTTCCATTGTCCGTAATGTTATTTTTTTTACAAAAATAAGTAAAACCAAATCATTTTACTTCTATTGAAATGCTGCCCCTTACATTGTCCGATCTTAATGTGAATCATGTCTTCTGACCTCTGTTTTAATTTTTGTAGTTCAAAAATATTTGAAAAACTGCACCCATAAACTTCCAAATTACTATAGAATATGCAACAGTAATAATAACAAAAGTCGAAAATAAATTTTATAAAAATGACTTTTTTAATCCACTAAAACTATAGTGCCAAAAAGGGATATGCTTATGAGAGAAACTTTAGGAAATGTGACTGCAAACGGAAAATAAATTGAAGAAATTTTCATTTATGCGTTAGCTTCAATATTAGCATCAAATTTAGGCAAGATTTTAAATCGTCTTTTTAAAACACCTATTTCATTTTTTATCTATGTATCAATTTAAATTATTTTCTTCCATTATTATTTTGAATGACATGGTAAATAAAAAATCCAAGAAATCATGGCACCTCTCGGTATTAAATTATTTAAGGTTAGGTTAAAAAAAGATGTCCTGGTTCATCTCAAATTTATATGGGTTTAAATTTGTTCATAAATAGTAGAAAAGCTTTAAATAAGCAAGAAGGGATAGCAGATTCTTCATTGCTTTCAGTATTTTGGATTTACCAGTATATGTCGAAATAGATATGATTTTATCGTAAATGTTATTGTGTAAAATAAAAATATTTGAGGGGTTTCTTACATTTTAGCCTTTCTGTCTAGCGAAAAAGGTAAAATCCAAAATTTTAGTAAATTTTCTCTACATCTCAAAGAAATGTATAAAAAAAACTATTGAATATTGTGTTTAAGAAATATAAACCAAATTTTCGTTTTGCGCAGATTTTTTCTTTTTTCTTATTATATCACATATTTGCTTTGACAGTTTGCACAATATTTTGATTTATTTATTGACACTCACTAACTAAAATATTAAATTATAAATCATCTTTTATAATAATCCCACTGTGTTCTGTGGACATTTTTTAAATATTTTTTTTGTGAATAATTCTAAAATTAGTTAATAGTAATAATTTCAAGATGACTGATGTCCATGTAGTTCTTTCTATGGGGAACACTGAAAGATAAAGTAAACAAAGAAAAAATCAATGAGGTGGGAAACACGGCGTTGCAGTTAAAAAAAACACTTGGAGTATAAATTCTTTGCTTAGAACAAGATATTTTTTCTTAATATATAATTTAGACTTGTTTAGTAGGTAAATGTATGATTTCAGCTACAAAAATTAGAAAATTCCAAATATTTCGAATTTTCGCCACCGAAAACGGTTGTGACAACATTTTAACAGCAAGGCAATGTTTCGGATTGTATTAGCTATATACTGTCCAAATTTGGTTAGTGCATCTGTGTCGATTTCGACAATTCAATACCTATGTATGTTTTCAGCCACGAAAATTGGATAATTCCAAATATTTCGAATTTTATTAAATTTTGTTAATAAAAAGGATTCTGAGGAATCTAAAGGCGGGTATTCATTTGTGGCAATGCTCCGTAACGTAACAACGAACATGTTACGGCCTGTTGCAAAAGGTGACACGGTTCGCTGCGAAAGTGTGTGTGGTTTTGGTCGTATCATTCATTCCGTAACGTAACAAAATAAGGTTACGAGACGACACAGGAACATAAACTCGCAGTATGAACCTGATTGCAATAATAGATTCGTCACTGCAATTGCAGTTAGCAGCAGCGTCATATATTTTTATTCATCATACAATTTTGAAAAATAAGAAACGGAAATCTCCTGGAATCTTTTCTTTACTCGACTCCATGGCACAAACACAGAAAAACACACTCTTCCTAGTCACTGCAGGAAACAAATGACCCCAGACCATATACAAAAGACTGACGAAACAAAAAATATGATAAAATCACATGTGCAACAGGCAACGTTACGGTCAAAAGAGTAACCCCGTCTCAACATGTGGCAGAAAGTACTGTTGCACCCCTTTGATGCGACGACTAAAAACCGACAACTGATGGTTCGTCCCGGATTAGTTACGCGTGTCAAATTTGTTACACGTAGCATGCAAACAATTTTCCACTAGCTGTAACGTAACATGTTCGGTGTTACATTACGAGGCATTTGACACAAATGGATACCCGCCTTAAGACTCCAAGAACACGTTTATAGATTTTGAACTTGATAATAAAACCAATTTCAATTTTATATCCCTGAAATAGTTTTGGACAAATATTTTAAAACCGGACATATTACGATGTGCAATAAATGCAACAAACAATTTCATTTTACGTCCCAATATAATATTGGCGTAAAGACACACCATTTCTCATGTTCCGCAGTAAAAATTTGAAGCTAACTCGTGCTCAACAAATTTTTAATGAAACGAAACTGTTACCTGGCAAATAAAATATTGTTCACCTGTTAAAAACATAACGATCCTAACGCCATAAGTTGTACATACATTCTGCAGTCACATTTCCACAGAAAGGAGTTAGTAAGCGAGTGAAGCACCATCTACATTTAAATGATTCAATTAAGTTTTAAGTAGTAGATACTTTAGTCATATAAGATGTTACTGCGTTATGATTTATTCGAGCATAGCAATGTCCATGGAAACCCGATTCAATTGTGAGTTATTTGTCTTTGGTGTTATTTTTGTTGATTGTGACTTGATCAGTTTGTTGTTGCTTGACCCCGAAGCAAGCCCAGAATGCAGAATGCGACTTTACCCTTACTGTATCTGAACCAGCGAAAGCGGAGGACGCAGGCGTACCGCAATGTTGTTGTTTATATCGAAACAATAATGGCATCATTAAGCTACATTTGTTAGAGTAAAATATAACCTCTAGTTTGGAAGACTTTTGTCTAAAATTTAGATGATTTCTTGACCATCGGATTCAAAACTAATAGTAATATCTAGTTTCACATCTATTTGTATTATCTTGATAATTTCGGGGATATCTGGTAAAAAAAAACAACTTTCAGGGACTCACCTTTAAAAAATCATAATATTTTGTCTTATTTTTTATTGTAGAATGTCAATTTTGGGGGAACCTGTATATTTTTCGTTACACGAACAAAACCCAAGGAAAAACAAAATCAGAAGTACATTGACGCATGTCAGAGAACACTACCCTCTAATGTCGCGTGTCTAGAATAGCATGCGAGTTAATTTTTTATTATTCTTGTGGCACACTGCATACAAGTGTTTAATTACAATTTTAAAATGTAGGGTTAGCAAATTATACTTGGCTAATGACTGTATTACCACTGTGCCACATATATACAGGCTGTAACTTGGTGTGGATGACACATGTCATAAGTTTGTTTTCGTCGTAAGAATTGAACTTTTAAAGTCACGAAATTACATAATGTATTACAAGCACCTCGTAAATCGATAAACTAGAAATTAATATAAATGAATACGAATATGTTTCGTCGAGTTAACCTTGGTTGTTTGTTTTTGGCGTCTACCATTTTGTTGTCATATCATATCTGGTGTAAAGTCAACTTACAGATTCCATTTGTGTAAACAATGATCAAGCACTCACTACAAACTTATTTTTTTGTTGTTTTATTTCATTTGGAGTAATTTATGATGTCCAGCACCGATGATCTGTGAATAAGAAAAAAGAGTGAAAACATACTGTATTATGTTTAAAATTTTATAACTTTTTAATGGTATGTACTTGTTTTAACTCTCTTAAATAAACGTAATATGT